GGAGGAGGGGGGGGAGACCACCTTCCCCGTGGCAGACAACCGTACCTATGATGAGGGGGTGAGGGTTCAACTCCTGCCACGCTGTGGATAAGACTAGACAGGAGTGATGTGTCGTTGACGTGTGTGTGTGTGTGTGTGTGTGTGTGTGTTAGGCTCTGATCCAGGACGGACTGGACCTGACGGACACTCAGCAGAGCTGCACTAGAGGGAATCTGAGAATCAAACCCACGGTGGGATCAGCTCTGCTCTGGTACAACCATCTGTCTGATGGAAGAGGTGAGGGAAGAACACCCCCCCCTTCACTCCCTCCCTTCACCCCACTCCACCCCACCCCCCCCACCCCTTCACTCCCACAGGCTCCTGCAGTTGCATCGTAGCCCCGTATGGTTGGTGTGGAAACAGGTAACACCAACTACTGCCCTCCAGAGGTCAATAAATGTATTTCTGGTTATTTTTGTGTGTTTTGCTCAAACATTCCTGTTACTGACCACCCAAGTGACCCAGGTCAAAGGTCAGCAGGTCAACGTTTGTTCTGTTTGTAACCTTGAGAACTCGTCGCTGCATCAGTCCAGACCTGTGGTGCAGTGGGTCAGACCAACAGGGCACTTTTACCCCTGTTTGAGTTCCTCTTGTTGATCAAAGACACACACTGTGACCTTCACCCTTTCTCTGTGCTCTGCCCCCTGTAGGCTGGATGGGGGAACTAGACGAGTACGCCCTGCGTGGTGACTGCCCGGTCCGACGGGGGCTGAAGTGGACGGCCAACAGCTGGGTCAATGTGGACCCCGACTTTCAGAAGCAGGCTCGATACCAGAAACTTGTTGCTCACAAGTTTCAGGCCAAGTCGGTCCTGGAGGAGCAGTACCAACCTCTGCCACACAGCGGCCTCCACCAGGACCTGTAGCTTGGACTGCGAAGAAAGTCCAGAACCAAATCAGCTCTTTGAATAAAGTCGACGCTACAGTCGGCGCTACAGTCGGCGTTACAGTCGACGTTACAGTCGGCGTTACAGTCGACGCTACAGTCACTGGACAGATGTCGAGGTGTTTGTCTGGTTCTGCTCCTCAGATCAACGACGTTTGTTCGTCCAAGAGTTATTTATTGCTTACGTTTTGAACTGGACTGCTGAAGTCTCCGTGCTGCTGGTGTGAACAGCACCTCCCTCAGGTCAATGTCAGAACAGCTTCAAGTTGTGTTTTTGGTCCTTATTCAGTATTTATTTATTTATTGATTGATTGATTGATTTATCTGAGTGTCACTGCTAATTTATTTGAAATAAAAGAAACAATATTTATCACAGCTTGATGTCATCGCTGATGGTTTCTGTTTCACTGTTGGTCAAACCCAGTTTTACCCAAGGCCACACCAGCATCAAGGCTCCACCAATAATATCAACACGAACATCGTCGGACACAAAAAACAAACGCATTTTGTAAAACAACGATGTGGTAATAGCGCTCTCTAGTGGCAGGACTCGCTCATCTGCCGGTCACAAACTCGAAAGGCGTCGTGGGAGTTGACGCAGCCTTTTGTCCTTTATGTTCTAAAGCAGAAACACGCAGTACTTACATTAGCGCATCATTCATCAAAGCGTGTTGAGAGCATATGTCCACTAGATGTCGCCATATATCTACCGGGCCAGCAGCGGATTATTCTGTTATCAGCAGGTCAGAGCACATATGGAACTAACGGTTGACCAACCTGAAGAGTTAACTGACTGTGACCACTGGTGACGTCACTGACACTAACCCGCTTCGTAAATTGTGTCAAAATACACTAAAAGGCAGCATCAATCCAGTAGACTGGTTCTGTGGTCTGGGTCTGTAGACTGGTTCTGTAGACTGGTTCTGTGGTCTGGTTCTGTAGTCTGGTTCTGTGGTCTGGTTCTGTAGACTCTGGTTCTGTG